AGACAAATCTGACACTCAAAACAACCCTGTTAAAGAGGTAGAACAGATATTATCATTCATTCATATATATATATTTATATATGAATATATATGTATATATATATATGAATAAGTTGCTGTGGCAGAGCAGCAAGGACTATAATTCAAAGCATAAAGTAGACCACCTTCTCTCCCTGAATGGTTCAGGTTGCTCTATCATGGTCCACGTTGACAAAAAGGAAACTGAACTTAATAAAGTCCTGCCACACTTGGTCATTTGGTAAGTCCCCCGGTGTGCACATTGAGACTCTTGATTCCACACATCTGGTTCTTCTTTTTGGGAACACTTAGTCCCTCTTTCTAGGGATGTCTGCAGTGCCACTGGTATAGAAGTCACAGTTAAGCATGGCTCGAGAACGTAGGGATATTTACTCCCTTTTGATCCGTTCTAGTTTCTCATCTGTTCCTTGGCCTTGGGAATTCCCTCTGGTTGTTTGTTTTGTTTGTATCTGTTACTGCCCCTTTTAAGACATGGCCAGCACTGTATTGATTCTATGTGTATTCTTGGGAAAGATCTTGACTGTCAAGTTAAAGGTTCCCATCTGTCAGTCATGGTTTTGGGGCTCCTCTCTGGTTGTCTCTCTCTCTGTTTCTTTTCGTGCAATCTTGAAATAAGAATCTGCCAGCAGTAAAGTGAGTTGAAGAGAGGGCCATCTATAGGTATCAGCCTGTCTAAGATAATGTGCTACTGTAGTGATCTGGCTTTTGAATAGCTTTCTGGAGTATTGTACCATCTTGCAGTTGGAGTTGGTCTGTCAAAGGTAAAGTAAGTGGAAGAAATTTGTCTGTGTGGGTCTCTCTGTTTTAAAGGTTCCCATCTGTCAGCCCTGGTTTTGGTGGTCCTCTCTTGTCTGGGTTCTTGTCGGTTACTGGCCCTTTGAGACGTGGGCCATGCTGCATTGATCTTACCAGTAGTCTGTTGAACAGAGAGATCTTGGCTGCCTGGGCCACCTACAGGGATAAGTCTAAGAGAAGGAGGATTTACAGCAACACAATATGGTCTTTAAATGTCGTTTTTTTTTTTTGTTTGTTTTTTTCTGGATTATTATACAATCTTGACATTGAAATTTGTCTGTCTGGGGCAAAGTATATGAAAGAGATTCTGTATGTACAGGCATTGATGCAGTTGCAGGATAAGGGGTCTGAACCATCAGGAACTAAGTTGAAGGTGCCAAAAGGCACTACCTATGGGGTAAGGAGAGCAGGACACCTGAAGAAACGTTTAAAAAGATTTAACTATTTTAAATCCAGAGCTGGCTCTCCCAGCACTGTTTCTCAGCCTTGCCTGAGGCAACCCCAGATCATCTCACTGTGAGTCAAGGACTTGAGTCCTAAACTGGGGGGAAAATATCCCAGAATAGCTGCCTGGGCCTAGAAAACTGGCCAAAGAGAACCTGGCCTCTGCCCTGCTTTCCAGCCCCTTTTGCCCATGGAAGGTGGAGGCTGTGGCCACAAAGGATGTGCTAGTAGGTTTCAGCACTGTTAGTTTATGACCTGGGGTCAGGAATAGTCTCCCCTTTTAAGATCTCATAGGACACCCCATTTGGCCAGGGGTATTCATTATTGGGGCGAAGCTATAACAGTGTCCCATCAAACTAAATGCCTGGGGAGACTGGCAGAATAAATAACTGCACCCAGAAAAGGCAAAAGGCAGAAATTAAGGCCCACCTGTGTTTTGTAGGTAGCCTTTGCAGAAGGATCTTTAAAGAAACCTTAAAGAAAAGGATGGAAAGGCCTCCTCCGTTGCATTATCAATATGCCTAATATAAGAAAAAGCCCCCAAAGGAACCTCAGGGCACAATCGACAGTGGGGAACTCACTTAAGTTGATGGCATTGTGAAAATGATAAGGCAAACAGGCCAGGCTTAAAAATATTCTATACTCCAGCCAACCCCTTGAATGCCACCTGAGAGAGAAAAGATGAAGACACAGTTTATGTATATTCCAGATTGTTTGATTCCTCTCCTGGGATGAAATTTGTTGGGGAAATTAGATTCACAGGTCACATTTGTAAGGATTGTTTCAGAATATAAATTTAAGAAAGGATCCAAAACTAGAAAAGATAAAAGAAGGTTATAGGTATATAAATACATTTTAGTATGGAAAATTATAAGGTCAAAGAAATATTTCTGGATGAGAAAGTATTTTGTCTGGTAAAGTATTCTTGGGCTAAAGTTCAAGCTAAAGTACAAAGATGTGAAACAAAAACAAGCTGTGAAAGAAGCAAATTGTAGAAGGTTTGTCCAAGGTAAATCTCAAAAACTTTGTGTTTGTGATTCAATTGGCTGTAATTAGCACAGTCAAAATTATTTGAACTTTAATGTACTGATATAAAACAAAGCCTGAAACATTGATCTGCTCTTATTTATCAAGATAATTCTCTTGTATATGTTACATTTTATTACTTGGGGAAACTAAGTCTTAAAGGAATTAGGGTTATACCTGTTTAAAGTAATAAATTATTCCTTTGTAACTGGTTAAACAAACAACTGTTACTTAAGTTATAACAATATAGTTGACACTCTAAGTATATGTGAAAATGTGTATGTATGCATCTGAGAACTGTATCAGTCTAAGCCTTGTCTAAGTGTTATATAAAAGTTTATAAAACAAAAGCTTATGTAAGTTTACAGTCAAGATAACCAATAACTGCACTCTTTTATACATTGCATCTATATAGAAGGGCCACACTGTCATTTGAAGACCTTTTATATCTGTTTGCTTTGACTAAGTCAATTTCTGATCATTAACACTGTTTCCTAATGTATAAAAGATTTAAGGCTA